ATATGCTAATTTTTTGGGACAGGCATTTTGGGTTTTCATGAGCTGTATGCCATAATCATCAGTATTAAAACAATTAAAGACCTGAAATATTTCAGTTGGTGTGCAATGAATCTGAAATATATGAAAGTTTCATTTTTATCATTACATTATGGAAAATAATGACCTTTATCACAATATGCTAATTTTTTGAGAAGGACCTGTACACTTGAAATATTCACCTTAAATATTTAATTTAAGTCAGGATGGAAGTACAGCAATAAGTGTCTGTTGCTGCTTTTATCTTTAACAAACTTGCATCAAGTCCTGCAGAGTTTTTGTTCCTCACAACGTACAGACCCTGCCAGGTAGCCACTATGATTAGTCGATTTAACGTTAGCAAAAATATGCCTCATTTTACATCTTTAACATGACAGATTATCACACATTTAGTTTAATGTATATTGCAAAGTGACAACATGATGCCTGTTACAGCTGCGGACGAGTTTGATGCTACAGGAGGTGTTTTCTCTTCAGACGACGACGTGCTGTTGTGGTTACTCCAGTTCTGTTTGCAGTGGCTGCATTGAGCTGTGTTGTCTTTTCTGTTTAGCCTAACATGTTCCGAAACTTTTGACAGTTTTTGTTGTTTTCAGGGCTCCTCTTCTACGCAGTCTCCGTTCCCTCCATAGCTACAAACTTAGCACATACGTGCCAGGCGCTAGCGGAAGTGTTGTGCAACACAAAAACCTTCCAGCTAGACCACAGTGCGTTTAACAAAGCGTCCAGGCAGATAAAATTGCCTCGAGGATTTTTTTGTAATCGAGGTACTCGAATGATTCGAGGAATCGTTTCAGCCCTATTGCCGAGCCTTGCTACTTTTGTCAAGTTTCTGTTTGTGCTTTAAACTGCGGCGTGTAAATACCAGAAGAAGCACGGCAGATAAATCACCCTAAACTGGATATTTGTGTCCATGTTTTTAAATAAGACAACTTCATACCTTGCCACTCAACCAGTTAATTTCCTGGAGAACACCAAACCTCTGCTTTGTATCAGATACCCAGTCATTTTAACACCCATCAGGAATTTACAGTGCTCTCCCACTGTGAGTCAACAAGGACATCTGCATTTCTAAGCTCAGCTTCAGTCTTCAGCTGCAGCAAGCGGCCGGGGAGGGGTGGGTTTGTACTCAGTGATGGATGAGGGGTGGGTTTGTACTCAGTGGTGGAGGAGGGGTGGGTTTGTACTCAGTGATGGAGGAGGGGTGGGTTT